GAAAAGACTGTGAACTTCTTTTTCGTGGCTTAGATGCCAATAAAATCTTCGACGATGCATCTTGATGGTCAAAACGCAAGACCCCTTTTTTTTCATATATATTTACAACATTGGGAATACGTCTACACCATTCCACTCTTAGTTAGGAGCATACTTGCGCCAGTTTAGATGGTCGGGTACTGAAGTATGAATAAGGATTGGGAAGGGCAGCGCATCGAGGAGCCCACCCCTGTAGTAATCGAAGGCGTCGGATTACGAAGAAATCAGTCTCTAGGGAAACAAAACCACCGGTGCTGACAAGCCGGGCAAGCCTCAGCGAAAACGAAAGACCGACCAGACGGCCCTCCACACTCGAACTACTCGCACAAACCCTTCGTAGACCAGACAAACCGGGGACCTCCGTAGACGACCCTTGTCTTGAATAGATAAATAAATAAGTTGTCTTTGCGCGGGTCGTACATCAAGATCGTCGACGTTGCGTCCTAGCGGGGGGTGTGCGTCGCGGGCACGACACACGACCTTACAATTAGAGGAACTAATGAGGATTTCGGGTGACGGGATTGTACGGACTCGACTCCGGTCGTCGGGAATCCCTGAGTGAAGGTGTAGTTGCTTCGGGTCTTTGTACGCTAGTTTGGAAAGACCTTACGCTACCTTCGGTTTTTATCTGGGTCTTATCTTATGCACGGTTCCATAATTAGAGTAGCACACACTACTGAACACCAAGTTTACATTAACGTTGAAAATTTACACACGTTTATGTACGGCTAGAGACGTAAACGGACTTCTCCGAAGGAAAAGGACTCTTTGGGAAAGAACACACCAGACGTGTACACTCCAGACCCGTTTCGATTGCAAGGACCTACCGAGGTGTGTTTTTCCGCAAGACGGAGAAACGAGAAATAATAATCCCTTCCATTAAGTACTACTCTTACTCCCAAGTCGAGAAGTCAAGTCGGGACCGTTTAGGACGTCCGATGTTTTCTTTCCGTTAATATCACGGCCCAATGATCTTAATTCTTGTAAAGTCCTTCAGTAATGAAAAGTCTCTCCCTAGTAACTTACGTTAGTTAGGTTTGTTAAGAACTTTATTTACTTTTATACCGGCGGAAAAACAACCAACTTTACCTTTCGAGGGAACTGACATTTACACTTCTAACTATCATATACCCTAATTACCGGCAGTTACAATAAAGCTAATGATAACATCATCAGAGTAGATATTAATACAGTGTCCGACAACACAACAAATAGGTGTCGAAACCAATACGTCGGAGGAATAGAAGGGAGAAGAAAAAGTACAATTAATTATTTTTTTTGATGTGTTTTAACTTTCACCTTTATTAGGTTCAATTTCTTTTCGCCGAACAAACCTCTAAACAATCAAACACAACACAACAAACACAACCTCGAGGCGGTCATTGTCACTTAAGTATAACGCCTGATCCCCGGTCGGAATTGCAAATTCGACCACGCCCCCCCCCCAAATCACTTACAACCAGTATCTAACGAATAAAACGGACAAAAGATCCTCTATCAGAAGCTGGAGTTCTCGAAAAACCGAGGATTAGCTTACGTTACTCGGACGTTCATTTTCGAGTTTGACTTTGTGTAATCCTTACAAGAGTTTGTGAATATTCTGGAGAGAGTCCAAGTTAGTATTTTGTATTCCCAATTTTTCTGTACTAAAATCGACACTATATATGAAAACACACCTATACGCACAAATGTTAAATCCACGAGAGAGGTTGGGACACGACGACTCAAAGGTCCGTTTTCGCCGGCATATTTTACACACAATAGTCCACGATGTAGTTTAGAGTAAAAATATCAGTAAGGTGATGGGTAGAGAGAAGGTAGGGAATAGCGCTTCTCACCGAAAATGAGACTGGTACCACTTGCGGTCACATTATGTAACAAGGTCCAGTATTAAGTTTTTATCAACGCGACCTCAACTCACCTACTACTCTGGTCGAAGAAGTAGTGACCCTCCTGTCGCCCACAGGCAGAGAGAAAAGGAGCGCGACGGGAGGAACCGATGAACGAAGACAGGACGAGGAGGGGAAGCGCACGGTCAGAAAACTGCATCTGTCCTCTCGTCCCCTCATGAGAGGCCTGTGACCTTGTGTAAGGCAGTGAATACGCAGTACCTATTATTCGGTGGCAAATTTCTCTCTTTTAGGTGAATGATGTGTTGCCTTCCATTCCAACAAGAGGTAAGATCTCTATCACCTTATTATTACTATTGTTGCTACGTAAGACATTTCCAATAATCGCAAAAGGATTACGAGTTTCATCACATTTAGATTCCTCTCTGCCTCACATAATAGTGAGTGGTCATATAGTAGTTGTGATGTTTAGTACAGAAAAAGGGAATGAGACAGAGAGAGTACTGAAACTGGGACTCTCTCCAGAAACATTAGTATGTATTGTCACAAAGACCTCTGTAAAAGAGACATTACACAACAGTTTCATAATCCGTCTGTAGTAATTAATGAACGTCGAGTGAACGGTAAGCGTATCTCGGGGTAATTCTAGAAACTATATACGTATAGCATGCATGGCAACAAGGAGGATCACCTTTTTTATTGTCCGTTTTATTCTAGATACTGTGTTGTAATGGATTATGGGGGGGGGGGGGCGCGGGTGATTTTGCAATTCGACGGGGAGTCAGCGTTATACTTAATGACAATGACAGCTTTTTGTTTCTTTATTGTTTAGGGTTTTTCGCGAAAAAAATTAACCTAACAAACTAACATACCTTACACAAATCAAAACTTTACTTTTACTTGAGTAAAGAAGTTTAGTCAGTACTTCTACTTTCACCAGAGTATTTTTAAACATGAGTATCTGTACTTCTACTTGAGTAAAGCATGTGTGTACTTCTACTTGAGGAAAGGATGTGTGTACTTCTACTTGAGTAAAGGATGTGTGTACTTCTACTTGAGTAAAGGATGTGTGTACTTCTACTTGAGGAAAGGATGTGTGTACTTCTACTTGAGTAAAGAAGTTTAGTCAGTACTTCTACTTTTACCAGAGCATTTTTAAACATGAGTATGTGTACTTCTACTTGAGTAAAGCATGTGTTCACAGAGGGGGGGGACCTGTTCATGTGGGGCGACAACACGGAGGGGCAGATCGGTTTGGGGAAGGAGAGCCACGCCTCGACGCCACAGGAAGTCAGCGTGGGGCGCTCCATCAGTTGGGTGTCCTGCGGGTACTACCACTCCGCCTTCATCACAGGTGAGCTCCGGGGGAGGGGTTATTGTGCAGAGATCTTCTGACTAAAGGGAAGTCCATTAGGGGGCTTTTGGGGCAAGCAGAGAAACTCTTCTGTTGTTCTTTACCTCTGTGATTGTGTCTGTTCTACTGTACTGCAACACTACCTGGTACAAGTGTCTGTCAACAGCTTTCAAATCTAAACTGCTCCACCTGTTAGAAATCTGCTCACAGACAGTTGGTCACCCTGTCAGAGACTTCCTGACTCACAGACCATAATAACCTGAGAGGCTCCAACAGCATCCTCTGGGACCCAAAGCGTGCTCTGACAGAGAATATGAACTGCTGCCATCTAATGGAGATCACTAAAGTCAGCCTGAAGCATCCTCTGTGCTCCAGTCAGCCTGAAGCATCCTCTGTGCTCCAGTCAGCCTGAAGCATCCTCTGTGCTCCAGTCAGCCTGAAGCATCCTCTGTGCTCTCAGTGAACACAGAGCTACAGATCAGATGCACGCTGAAGGCATCGCTCACTGACCCTGATCTTCTGTTACATGTTTGTTTCTCATGTATTGTGTCTTGATGTCTGTCTGTTGATGTTAGACATGGAGCTGACTGTTAAAGTGTTACCGTATCGTATGGTATTAATATAATAATTGTGTGTGTCAGAGGACGGAGGGCTGTACACGTTTGGGGAGTGTGACAGTGGGAAGCTGGGTCTGAACACGGAGCAGCTGCAGCGGCACCGCGTCCCCCAGCTGGTGGGGGGGCTGAGGCAGCCGGTGACCCAGGTCTCCTGTGGGGGGGGACACACCGTGGCTCTCACAGGTACACTATACACATGTTTTAATTTAATATTTTACTATTTATGTACGGCTTTATTTGCATCGTTTAAAAAAAAAGAAAGCTGAATGAAATGAAAGTGCTTTATTTTATTTTCAAAGAATATTGTTAATTTATAAATATAACGTTGCTTGTATTCATTAACTATTTATATCAAATTAATATATATATATATATTTTCTATTAAAATAATACTGGATGTTTCGTCTCTCAGAGGACGACGTGTTCACGTTCGGCCTCGGTCAGTTCGGACAGCTCGGTCACGGGACGTTCATCTTCGAGTCGCGGCTGCCTCGACGCATCGAACACTTCAAGAAAGGACGAGTGTGTCATGTGACCTGCGGAGAAAACCACACGGCTGTCATCACGGGTACGAACGGATTAACTCCAAAGTTACTGCTTTAATAACACATCTCCTCTGGCTGGAAGAGAACTCTCTGGACTTGAACTCACGCTGTTCATTTTACATTTAATATTTCATATTCCATTCCTCACATGCTTATGTTTTTATGATATCCTGTTTATATGTGTGCGATGCAGAGTCTCGGATGGATGTGAATACCTCTTGTTGTGTTTTAATGTTCAGACGGAGGGTTGCTGTACACGTTTGGAGACGGTCGTCACGGTAAACTGGGCCTCGGAGACGAGAACTTCACAAACCAGTTCAAACCCACGCTGTGTCCGCGCTTCCTCAAATACAACGTGCAGGCGGTACGTGTTCGAAATGATGTTCATAATAATTCAAAGGTCTCCTATCATGCAGAATGCACTTTGTGATGTCTTCTCTAGATGTAGAGAAGACATCACAAAGTGCATTCTGCATGATAGGAGACCTTTGAATTATTATGAACATCATTTCGAACACGTACCGCCTGCACGTTGTATTTGAGGANTATTTGTGTTCAACATGTGAGAAGTAGAAAGTACAGGTATTTGTGTTCAACATGTAAGAAGTAGAAAGTACAGGTATTTGTGTTCAACATGTAAGAAGTAGAAAGTACAGGTATTTGTGTTCAACATGTAAGAAGTAGAAAGTACAGGTATTTGTATAAGTAGTGGAGTAAAGTACTGAGACCAGGAAGATATACTTAAGTACAGTAACAATGTATTCGTACTCCACTAAAGCTGCTCCATAAAACATAATTCTGTTGGGACTAAAAACACCTCAGATATCCACCAGGTGTAGGAGAACCTCTCCGTGTTTCAGCCAATGAGAGGAGAGAGATTGAAAAGATTTACCTTCTGAACCGGAGACAGAGTGAGGGATTCATCACCGGCGTCCATCTTCATCACGTGAGTCTGTCAGGAGGGGAAAGGAGGAACTTTAGCATCCTCAGATCCTCAGGGTGCGTTCACTGACACTCTTTCTTGTTAAAAGAATTCATTTGATTCGTTAAAAACATTTCTAAAAAAATCCATTTAATGAAATTTGCTGAGATTTTAAAAGAGCTTGGGTTTAGATTTCATGTTTAAAATGAATATTTCTGTGCTTAGTCTGTCCAGTTTGATTTGTAGAATATTCGTAAATAAGGCAGCAGTGTGAGTGTATTGTTTGCAAGCTTTATTTATTTTAATGACTATTGCAAGTTTGTCAAAATGCATCTTTCTTGTCTTCAAAGGATTTTCACCCAAAAGACCCATTCAGCAACTAAATGGACATTTGTTAGACTGAAATAAAAGACTGAGAAAGTAACTGTGTCCTTGGAGTGCAATCCAGTTCAAAGTCAAGTAGTTCAAGTCCCTTTCAAGTAGGGCTGCTCGATTATGGCAAAAATCATAATCTCGATTATTTGGGTCAATAATTCATATCACGATTATCAAAAACTTTTATCCATTTACTTTGAAAACATAAATGTATTGGAGAAAAAAATGTGAACAGTAGGTTTTTAACAGTTGATTACCCTGACCTTTAAGTATAACTCAACTGAAAAACACAAAAAAAGTAATAATAATAATAAAAAAATAATAATCGTTTTATTTCGAATACGTTGCTTTCGTAATCGTTGCAAGCCATAATCGTAATTGCAATTAAAATACGATGAATTGATCAAAACCTACATTCAAGTGGAGAAGACTTGACACATGATGGTGCATTCACTGACACTCACCATGTTCAGGAAATCTGAGGTTTCCCCGAGGCCTTTAACGCTGTCTGTGTCCGTCAGATTCTCCACCACCTCGTCTGGGAGAGGAAACAAAATGGCACGTTGGAACGGTTTCCTCTCTTTTACAAGAAACAAACAATCCCAGGAAAACAAGTCGATCTTTTAAAATCTAAATCAGAGCAACGAGGATTGGCCTTGGAAGAGGAAATGAGGGAAGGACGGAAGGACGGAAGGAGGTGGAACTAGGTACCCTGCTGCATTGACGCTGCGCTCCTGTGTTGGTGCGAGCCGTTCAGCACCTGTCTGTTGCTGGCTGTGTGGTTGCAGACGGGGGGCGGAGGCTGCAGGAAGCCAGGCGTGAACATGGAGCCGAACTGCTCCGGAGATCGCTCCTGGGGGGGGGGGAGATATCACAGAATAGCAATGTTGTTAATGTATAATAAAATGTATTAGCATCTAAATGTCCTAAATAGTAGATTGCAAGATGACAAACAGGTGAATGTTCGTCGGGGCACAGAGTGTCTTTACCAGGTGAGGAGCAGAGTATGAAGTTAAATAATGTACATTAAGACACACATTCTATCTACATGTATATAGACTGTTACTGTAGCACTACTGTTTATTTTGGATTTCTGGATTTTAGCAGAAGAATTTCATTGCAATTTCTACACTATAGCTTTGAGCTTATGACGATAAAACCTTTGAGTCTTGAAAATGAAATACGGTTTGAATAAGTTTAAGTGCAGTACCAGTGTGTGTGAGTACCCACCCTCTCCCTCCTGCGGACCCGAGCAGAGAGGCTCCTCTGGAGGGTGGAGTAGTCCATGGAGTCCCCCAGCAGCTCCACGTAGGGCTTCAACAGGAAGTCCTCCGTCACGTCCTCCTCCTCCAGAGTCACGGTGCTGCTCGGGTCCCTCGGACGGGCCAAAACCACCATGTGACACCCGCCGCACGTCACCTGGTAACGACAGGGTGCACATTTGGATAAGTCAATTAAAAACGGCTAAATGTACCTTTGAACTTATTTTATGGTCTCCTATTATATCATTTTCAGGCATATAATAGATCTCAGATATATAGCTTTAAAAAATATCATGTTCCAAACCACATCAAGGACTCTCTCTGAAACAGGATGGAGCTCAAACTCTTTCTCTCTCTCTCAGGTTTACCACAAGGTGACTTCCTTTTGATTTCCTGCTTCTTTAAACACATGCTCTCCAGCACAGGTTAGCTCTGAGTGTTAGCATGCTAATGTGAACACAGACCATATTACTTCAGAACACGTCTCATTGTTTCTGACAGCAACCTTTCTGGTATAGAGTTAAACACACAGTGTAAATCACAGGAGGTACGCACAAAACATTTATTTATGTTTTTCAGAAAATCTCAAAATGATGACTTTTTTTCAGAAAATCTCAAAATGATGACTTTTTCTCTCAAAATCTTAAAAAATTAAACTTATTCTGAAAAATTAAACTTATTTTCAGAAATCTCGACATTCCAACTTTTTTCTTTGGACTTTCTTATTTTGACGTCATTCTCAAAATGTTTCTACATTTGTACCCTTTCTCAAAATGTCAACTTTATACTCAAAGGAACAAAATGCCTTCTTTCACAAATGTAAAAAAGGAGGTGGACTTAAAATATGTTGTTTCTGCAGGAGTTTCTGATTGGCCGTGGTGTAAAGCCCGCCCACATTGAGTAAACGTCCGTCCTGACGCAGCAATCTGGATCAGGCTCCGTGTCCCCCCGTTTCAGAGAATGGGGTACGGAGAAAGAGAGAGAGGTTTAGTCCTGACCTTTTGAGAGTCTCGATGATCACACGGGGACACACCGGCGGACACACCGGGGACACACGGTGATGTAAGAAGACATCAGAGAGAGACTTTAGCATGATAGGAGACCTTTAAATCTGTTTGGTGAGTGCACAGCGATAATTGACCTCAGTAGGAAAGTAGTGTTTTGAAACATTTGGTGTTTCCTTTCTGAGCTTGCAAGCGTGTTTCTTCATAATGGAAG